TGGTACCTTTAACACATTCTGTTGACTATAAGTAACGTTGCACCTACATGTCTACTAACTCTCATTAGAGTATTAGTAGACTGGTAGGGTTAGGGTTAGAATAAGTTGACATGTATACTTGCAAAGTTACTTATAGTCAGTAGAATGTCTGTTGGGAGACCATGACAATAAAGAGTTAGCAGATATTAAGCAAACAGTCTACTAATACTCTGATGAGAGTTAGTAGACATGTAGGTGCAACATTACTTATTGTCAACAGAATGTTCAAAAGGGACCATCAAAATAAAGTGTTACCAAAATGTTACTTGCTGTTTCTTTGTAATAATTTGTGAAATTTACAAGACATTTCTGAGTGAAAAATTCAAATCCTACACTAAATATTTTTCAGTGAATTCAGACAAACGGACGGACAGACAGATGAACGAATGGAGACATTGATAGACAGACAGACAGACAGACAGACAGATAAACAGACAGACAAGATAGATAGATAGATAGATAGATAGATAGATACTTGAATGTTTCAATTGACAAGGATAGATAGATATATATATATATATGACTTAGAGGTGGGCTTTTTGATTTGGGTCAGTAAGCAACAACTTAGCAACCACCCAGATCACCCTAGCAACACCCTAACAACCACTAACCTTTTCTTCAGAACATGCAAAATTCTATACTATTAAGTAAGTAAAGCTTACATTCACCAAGCCTTACTAGAAAGGACAGTCAAGCACACATTCACAAAAAACACTGAAAAGGCAATGCTTTCCTGCTGTTTTGCTAATGCGTCAAGAGCGCTTCAGTGAGAATTATATGTGAATTAAATGAGGCTTTCTGGGGTTTTTTCCCTCTAGAAGGTAAAGCAGGGGAGATTAAGGCACTGTGACCAGCCAGCGCTCTGCGGCTCTGACAAAACGCAGACTGACATAAGTACCCACACTCGCTCAAAATCCGATTAAATGTGTCAGCGCAGACCAGGCAACAGGCTCTGGAGTCCTTCTCTTAAGTGACTTTCCATTTCTCCTGGCCCTCATTCATACAGACACATCCACACTAACATTACCACCTACTTGGACACAGTTCACAAGTTAAAATCGGAAACGGTTTGAGATGTTTGAAATGTATTTGGCAGATGCTGTCTTTTAAATCCTGGTCTGTGCAATCATTAATTATCCAGTTATTCTGCTGGGACGCAATCATCATTATTGGAGAATTAATTATTAAGTTCTGCATCAGCATACACCACAAGCATTAAATAAAGCAATAATTATGAGGCAATATTGATATATCATTCACAAAGTCTACACTGGAGCACATCAGACTCTTATGCACCAAAAAAACTTTCTGGTGTAGAAGAGTTTTCACTCAGAAATTCCAGGCAAATTTCACAACTGATACAAAGAAACAGCAAGTAACACATTGAATTAAATGCAAAATTTTGAAGAAGAAAAACTTGTAAAATGTAGCTAATCTATTAATCTTTGTTTTATTTACAACTTTGAAAAATCATTTTTTACAGTGTGTATGGCTTGTGATTGAGACCTTTTTCAGTCAAAAAAGGTGCTGTAGCCACTTAACACAATAAAACATGTTTCTATGTTTTCTGGATTGATAAAAAATGATGTTAAGTTACATAATGTAAAAAAAAAAAATCAAAGTCAAACTCTATCAGGAACATTTTGTCATCAACGAGCAATTAAATTTGCATTCAGTCATGGACAGAAGTTATGCACAAAAGATCTGCTTCAGGGAAGGCCTAAGCTGTCAGTGACATTTTAAAAACTGGCCTGTAGAACAGTGAATAGCCTGGCTTGTTCCTGTTTTTGAGACTGGAGAACAATACCTCCAAGTAAAGAGGATTATAACAGCACCTGTTATGCAGCCAGCCAAATAGAAGGGACATCTGAATTTAATAGTCTCAGAAAAATTGTCTCTGCCTTCCCAGTCCTTTCTTCATCCAAACCTGCAGACACGTCGAACGGTGACAACCAATGGAGGGTTCAAGACTGAAGGGCAAAGAAAAAACGTTAATCCCTGCTGTGACCAAACGCGGATTGGCTGCCTGACATATCAAAGAACAGGTGGACCGAGACCAGGCGTACTAAAGGCTTTGTTCAATAGATGTGTGGTTTTTGTAGGGTTATGTTAAATGCAGAGTTAATATCGATTTAATGCTTGTCAGCGGTTCTATATATTTTTTTGGCAATGCAAATCCTCTGAACGCTTAGAAAAATAAGGGGAAAAATCATGCTTTGGAAGAAACGGCTTGCTATATCATCTGATTATTCACGATATATGAAGCTTGTATGGAATGTATAACTTCAAAATTTAATTTCAAAGAACTGCAATTCTATTTGTCCTGCTAGATTTAAACAATTTAAAGAATCAATGCACTTACGAAGCACAAAAAATGGAAGATTCCTGTTTGTCTAAGCCAATGTTTTAACTAATAAATAAAAGGAGTAAACACTTAACCACCTGCCAGACCCAACACCCAGTAAAACTATCTCAAAAGAACCCTTCATGCATGTGTAATACATTTACTCAGCCCTTCTCTTAACTAGGCAATATTGACACCAGATAATGCGCAAGTTAATCTATTTAGTATATTGTTGTGAAATAAGGGAACTGTGTAAAGAATCTAGACGGCACCGTAGCTGCTCTCCTCTGCACTGTCTGCACTTAAGGTGTTCCGGAGGGGCATAATGTATTGGAAATGTGCATTTAATGGGTTTAATCAAATCCCACCAGCTGTTTTTAGCCTTTGCTAAAAGGGAAAAAAAATGTGCCAAGCTTCCACAGCTATTAGAAATTAGCTTCGGTCATCGAGACTAAGCCATGTTTCCAGCTAACCATCTGCTAGTCCACAACAATAGAAGGATTTTCCTGAGCAAAGAAATATGGAATTATAAAAAAATTAAACATAATGGAAAAAGGCTTTGTTTTGGTAATTTGCCTCATCACTTTTGCTTAAGTCGCATTTACAGAATGTGTGTGTGTGTGTATGCTTCTATTATAAAAAAATTAAACATAATGGAAAAAGGCTTTGTTTTGGTAATTTGCCTCATCACTTTTGCTTAAGTCGCATTTACAGAATGTGTGTGTGTGTGTGTGTGTGTATGCTTCTAAAAAAAAACAAAATAGCTGGTCCAGACAAGTTTGCTAACTCTCAAATAAACTATTTTCGGATATACACTAAAGGAATAATTGTTTTGTAAGGAGAGTAAATAATGTCTGTATTCACTTCTTAAAATGCTTAAAGTCCTGTTGTAGGGATAGAGTAATTATAATTAGCTTAATTTAAGTACAATAGCAATCTATGGGAAGTCCCTAATTAGATAACTTTGTAAACATGTCTGTGTGTGCTGTGTGTTTTATAGCCTACTTTGGAGCCAAAATAATAATAATAATAATAATAATTAACTGACAAATCTTACTTGTTGGACATCCTCACAGATACAGATAAAATGATTCATAAAAAGTATCCTAATGGTAAAAGGATATAGCCAGAAAAATGTAAATGGAGATAACTTTAAGGGATAAATATGATCTTGGTGGCAATTTGGAGTCCTTTGATATGGTTAAACTGAGCATGCTAAACATTAGTAATGTAAGGTATTGAGAAGCTTTATTTTTTATACGCTTTATTTTTTTTATATCCATTTAGCTTATTTAGTCTCTAAATTTTCGGTCACTGCGCAGCAGCGTGTTGTTGTTTTAACTATATTATTTTATTATTGTTACTTTTTATTATATTAGTTTTGTCTTAATTAACTGAAAGGACCAACCCTAAAAATTAAGCTTTGAGTCATCCGTTCACGAGGAGGACTTGCGTGTGTCCAGTCTCTCATATCAGTTAAATACGAGTTTAAATGCACCTCTTACGCATGCGTTTCAAATCACATATGCACTTTTATTCAAGAAGTTAAACTGGCAGAATAAGCCTAGTCGTCTATAGAAACAGAGATCGGTGTGTTTTTGTGTCAGAGATCTTTGTGAGGGTAAAAGAAAGCGAGGCGCGAGCAGCTGAGGGTGACGGTTCACGGTTCAAACGGAGCTGCACACGTCTCGCGAGCGTGTGTAAAGTGAAGCCCCAGTAAACGTGAATGAAGACTTGCCCGGTTTCAAACACGGGGGATATATCTAACACATCTGTCATGGCGATTCAACCACAAATCCATTTAAAGCTGTACTCCGTGACAGAGCCCAGATTGGATTTCAGTAGAAGTATACAGCATACAGCATAAATGATTATTAAATGGGGGTTTAATCGGGAGGTTCTTGACAGCCAAAGGAACGGCATAAAACAGGATAAGAACTGTCCATATAATACACAGGCTATACGCATAGCCTAAAGAGCATTTGCCTATTTTATTTTACATTTTACATATTTATGTATAAAGTTTCCACTAAGCACGTTTCAGACTCTATAGCAATTCTATTTTAAAAATGCATTATAGATTTATATTTAGTCACTGATGTGAATCCGAAAACAATGCTCACATTAAAAAAGAAATACTTTTGTAAATTACTCTGTATTCATATTGTGTGTCGTAAATTAAAAATACATTTGCAAAAGAGTATATATTTACGACACGAGTAAATTGGCTACATAATCTCGCTTGTGCTGTAAATAAATAAATAAATAAATAGTTTGTCGATATGCAAAATTTATGACTATATCTTCTTTGTTAAGCGGCATGGCCCGGCCATTCAAATCTTATGAAGTCTAATTCAATCATAAATTGCTCTATCGGACCAATCAGGCACCTCCGAGGCATCATTCAATGGGACTCAAGCGGAGGACTTTATTGAGTCTCATTGTTGTGGCTGTCAGTCCTCAAAGGACCCTTACTGGGGCCTAGATATAAAGGACCCCTTCCCAAACGGAGACGTCCAGAAGCAAATCGCCTCTCGTTCAGTTCAGAGCTTGGCAGAAGAGACTTTTCTAACCCTAACAGGAGTAGCCGTATTTTCGCATTAAAATAGCCGGGACAATGATGATCCCCAGTGTTATTGCACCACCTGCAATATATTCAGCATTCATGCATCCTGCAGCATCGTTGCATTCACCTTTCCCGGCTCACCCGAGCTTTCTGGTGGAGGATCTCCTGCGCATCAACAGACCCAGCGGTTACCTGAACCAGGACGCGCACTCGCCATGCGCCTCTCCTCCTGCTTCAACACCTCTTTCCATCCCGGATAACTTCAGGCTATTGGACAGAGTCAGCCTCAGCATCACGGAGAAACATGGATCTTGCTCCCCAAAAACGCCCGTGTCTAGCAAGGATCCAACCTACCTCAAGTTTGGGGTGAGTGCCATCTTGGCACCGTCACCAAAGAAAGGTGAGTGTCTTAAATGAACCTAATATTTCCAATAATAATGACAAAGTATAATTTAATACAGCACTAACTTCTGTTTGCTTCTCTGTTTTAGCCACATCTCCACCGTCCGTTCACGGCATGCTTCCCAAAGCATTCTCGGTGCCTTATTTTGATGGTTCATTCTGCCCTTTCGTCCGTTCCTCATACTTCCCTGGTGCGTGTTCAGATTTAAATGCTTGTAGAGTTCACTTAAGTGGTTTGAATTCAGCCAACACTGTGGGTAGAGAGAGAGGTAAAAGAATTAGAATTTAGTTTAATCGACTGCCAACTTGAGGTTCTTCTCCTCTTTAAGTCCTCAAATTACTAGCGGTTTTGGCGCAGGTCTTTCCCACAGTGAGGGAACAGTTCGGCCTGCTGACTGCCAACAATGCCGTCAACACCATGAACAATCTGGTCAGCTCCCTCCGGGGCAAACCACCCACAAACCCGCCAAAGATAGACTTTTAACCAGCGACAGAGGGGCGTTTACCAGTCATGGACTAATTTGCCCATTAGGAGCCATTGAGCGGTTTCAATATTCTCACAAGACCGCATAGAGTGTGATTGGTGTTTGTGGAAAGAGTTGCAAAAGAACAATATCGAGAGCTGTGCGTTTAGAAAGGAGAGCGAGAAATCAGAAAAATCGACAAAATCGCCGACAAAAAGCATTGAACATGTAGTTGCAGTTGCCAAACATCAACTTCATCTCACTGCGTGCCAGACACACTTCGGTTTGGACGTGCTCTACATAGCAGGCTATTTAAAATACGAGCTTAAAATGCTCGTTTGAGGCATTAAATGTCTATAGTCTATTCTTTTATCGACGCCAAATGATAATAGAGCAGGACTCTTTTCACTGCGCGCGCTGAATACCTCAACAAAACAACTTGAGCGCTCTCAACTGCTTTTCGTGTTCATTTAATGAAAATTATTTGAGGGCGAAAAACGCGGTCCCCGGTCATCAGTATTCCGGCATGCAGTTGCGTTCAGTTTGAAAGTGTAAATCTCCCTTTTGTGGCAATAATATATGGCCTTAGCCGTCTGTCCGGAGTCTTTTCTCAGCCAGTTCATTACTACACAATTACCGTTCACGGTATATTAACTCCTCTGTCCTTCACTGGGAGGCTCGTAGAAAAGGATACTCTGCCTTTTTACCATACCAATGCAGCGTGGATCCGACCCATGTGCTAATTAGTCACCTCGTGCCATTTCACTCAAAACATCTCAAGAGAATAAATTCAAAATAATGATTATAATGAAGAAAAGATTTCTTTCTCCCTGATCATTCAGCACTCTAGATTGTCCCTGGGAAAAGCAACACCCAATTGCCCGTAGTAACGCAACGTTAACTTTTAGCCTCCTGGGCGAAACAAAATAAAACTCTTTGAAAGTGTTGTGATGCCCATGAATGTGTGCATGAATGCATTATTTACTTTATGTACTTGTCTCTTGTAACAGCTCCTGCATCTGTTGTACCCATTCCTGGAACTTTTTCCTGGCCTCTTGCTGCGAGAGGGAAGCCCAGAAGAGGGATGCTCCGCCGGGCAGTGTTTTCTGATGTGCAGCGCAAAGCTCTGGAGAAAATGTTCCAAAAGCAAAAATACATCAGTAAGCCAGATAGGAAAAAACTCGCAGGGAAACTCGGACTAAAAGATTCACAGGTGAATACAAGAGTGGAAAACTATTATACTCATCTAATAATTTAAATCAAAATAGGCATATGATATAGGCTAAATCACATTATTTACGCTAAAACCCAAATTTAAATATATAAAATCAATTATACACATTTTATACACTTTCCATTTCAACTTCTCTGTTGGCTTCAATTATTAACGATAGAATCTCTTCAAACAGGTCAAAATCTGGTTCCAGAACCGGCGAATGAAATGGAGAAACTCCAAGGAGAGGGAGCTGCTGTCTTCCGGCGGTTGCCGAGAACAAACCCTGCCAACCAAAACAAATCCTCACCCAGATCTCAGCGACGTGGTTAAAAAGTCTTCTGAGGATGAGGAAGATGAAGATGACGCTTGCGCTACATCACATTTCTGTCAACTTTCAAACAGCACTGATTCCAGCATTTCATTCAAACACTCGGACTTTTCTGAATCAGAGGATGAAATAACAGTTTCATAAGCTACTTAATCAGCTGTATAATGTATGTATTCAAGCACAAGTGTACGCCAAAACCAAGCTGTGGTTTTATTGGCGTATAATTTCACTTCTGCGTTCGAATGAGTGTTTGTAGCAAATCTTTTCCACATCACTTTATAATTACTTATTTGGAAATTCTTCGCAAAATGATTTTGCTGTGTCGCACAGCTTTTTGGGGGGAACTGTACAGTATTTTGTACAAATATTTTTGTATGGATATTTTATACCAAGAATTTTGAGTTTTAGATTCTTTATTAAAGTTGTAGACGTATGTATAATTTATACGAATTTATCACTTTGTGCCACATTGTATGCATATGTATATGTTGAAAATGTTTTGTATTGTTTGCAATAAATTGTAAATTTCATCTTTGTTTTGGGTGGTTGATTACAAGTAATTATGAATAACTTGCAAAAGGAAAACAAAGAACACGAAATAATACGAACCAAATGCATAAGATAGCCCCTTTGAATACAATATTTAATATTTAGGTTTCAATTATGGAATGCAACCTCTCTAAATAACGTAAAATCTCTATTAATAAGCACAGTCTTGTAGTGAAAAACAATCCTTTGCTTCGGTAAGATGTGCTCACCGGTAAAGTGTTTACTCTTTTTACCTCTCTTACCATTTTTCTTAACCAGTCTTCGTTTTGAATATCCTGACCTGAAGAACTTGTAACTAACTAAATATATAAATAAATCCTCAAGACTAAGCGGCCTCAATTTGACCACAAGCACAATCACACTTTAGCACAACGGACTTTAATATAAATATTAGCCATAGAAGATATTTCTCTGGATTAAAAAAAAAGTTTTGAATAAATAAATAATTCTCAATTAAAATGTCAGCATCAAAAAGACAGAATACATTAAATAATTGATGTTCTCTATTATAAATGAGTGCATTCAATTTTTTTTTCTTTTCAAAATAGAATATGACTGAAACGAAAAAACGTGAATGAACTAAGGCTTTAACCTGAATAATTCTGTAAAAGATGAATCAGTTCATTTAAACGAACCTTCCGAACGAACCGATTCACTAAAACGAATCGAACTTTGCTAACTTTTATTGCTTCTGCTCGCTCTGATTTATTCAAACTGCTTGGGCAATAGCTACAGATGTGACATAAAAACGGCAATTAAGTAGCCTATTTTATCTATGCTGCTACTTGTTGCAAAATGTAGCTCGCTACTGAAAAAGCTGCCATACCACTGAAGAAACATTAGTAGCGTCTAACCTTTTGTTAATCTGTTTAGTTAATCCTACAACAAAATATAGATTAAATGGGAACGCGCCATACACACCACAGCACGGCACGCACGTGGGCTCAGTTGCATAGTGGAATAAACTTGTGTTTTTTTTTTTCATATTAACGTGTGAGGTATGGTCATTTATGTTGTAGAACGAAACATTAATTAATTCAAATGATAACCACTGACCTTATTGTTCCCCTATATTCATAACTAGATGGAGGGAAGCCGTGGCGAATTTAGTGTTCCGCTTTGGCCTGAACAACTAATAAACTAATAGAACTTCTTATTCTAAAATAGTAAGCAACCGATTGCATTATCTAATTTTATCAGCAGTTTTTCCCCTGAGAGATATACAACATCCGGTTTATTCCACCACACTGGACTTTCTTGTAGAATATATAACAAATCATTTAACATGGTTCAGCTGTACTATAAATAGCCTATACTTTTTCATCATTTGCATTTTTCTCTTTTATGTTTGAACGTTCTTAAGAAAGTGCAAGTTATAACATCCCTTTAACAACCAGTGTAGATTATAACTGCGCTGAATAAGAAAACACGGTTTTCAGTCTTCCACTGCCTTTATCCACTTCCTCTTTTCCAAACCACACACTGTTGTAATATGATGAATATGGGGCTGTTTATTACAGGCAAACATTAGGAGTAGCGTAAATTCCCGTTTCGAGATGTGATTCCTCCATTGCACCAGTAGAGGGGTCTATCTATGTACACCTTCAGTCCCATTGTGTCCACAAACCTGTGTTTTATAGCATAATTGTTCTTCTTCCCCACCTGCAGCACTTATGGCCAACTGTCACATCATAGAATGAAATTCTAGAGAGTTCTGTGTGTTCAACTTTCCTGCATTAGTTTTGAGAGGAACCTTTTTACCCTGGAACAGCCAAACCCATTCCTAGAACGCTGTCTATACTGAATTTTGGCCATAGTATATAGCAAATTATTACACAGCTCTGTGGAATACTTGATTCTGATTGGTCAATCGCGCCATCCAGCGGTATGTTATTCCCAGATAACAACCGCCAAATTGAATAACACACCGCTCATCCGGGTACTACGAGTTATTTTGACCGGTACTACTTATCTGCTTAACGAGTCACTCTGCTATCATTGACTGTCTGGCGCCATCTTGTGACTGAAAACACTTAACCACCGCGTGTTACAATGGAAGACTTCAGCATTCATTTCAACATATATGGTAAAAACAAATCTTTTTAGCCGTGTAATAAGCGGGATAATGTACATCCAGCCAGTTATCTCAGAATAAACCCCTTCAGGCTGATACAAGACCCCTCCACGTCCTGATCACCCTGTCGGGGTTTATTCTGAGATAACAACCGGCTGGATGTACATTATCCCTTACATATCAATAACATCAGGGGTTGCAGGGGGTGTTTAGTAGTTAAAACCGGAATACCAGAGTTACATAAGTTAAATTGAGACACTCTCAACAATTCTATTTATTGTGACCTTACACATGCACACCTGTTTTTGTGTGCCCAGGCACCCTGGTCCACAAGAATTACAATAAGGGTGGGATGATGCATGAAATGTATTATCCCACACTCTTTCCCATTCAATAGTTATTGCTTTTGAAAAAATATACGACAGTGTTTGTGGTTCCTCTGGATCACTGGTTCTGATACAGTTGTTGCAGGTGGTAATTAGGAGTGAAAACATGGATTAAAATACAGAAGAACATTACTGAAAATAAATGGATGCAAACTTTTTTTTTATTCATAAGTTTTATGTTGGCCATTCACATTTACATTATTTACACAGATCTGTTTTAGTTACAACTGATATTTTTCCTGAGAAATGTCTCTTTACCAGCCTGCATTTTGCCGCTCCTTTTCGTCTTTAGAAGCTCCAGTTCAGTGGAACAAGGAAGCAGTCCCCAAAATCTTGCCCCGACATGTCCGTTTTTATAACTGCTGCACATTCCTCCTAATGTCCACAGATTATGACAACATAACGTTACACTTCTGCTTACCTGCAAACACTGGCCTCTGTAAGATTAATGTTTTTCTTTAGAATAATTAGAACACGACTCTAAACTAATCAAGTTTGAGCCAATCAATCTAAATATGTTAATATCACATACGCAACAGTGTGACATAACACTTCACTGATTTTTAACACTTGGTAGGCCTATTTTGTTTTTTGAAAAAGTAAAATGACCATTAATATGACTAATCTCACTTTGTTCAATGTCTGATCAATGGTAACAATTACATGTTCATGGTATACAATGCATTTAAAACATTTGTCAGTCATTGCAAAAGCACCATATGAAAATAATCCAAAACCCACCTGCAATTTCAGTGTGTGGACATTTACTAATTTTTGACCATATCATATCCTGTATCACCTGTTATAAAAAAAATATGTTCATACTTGAGCAAGCAAAAAAAAACAAAAACAAAAAAAAACACACCCACACCCTGATTCTCGCCCACTCTCTTGGAACTGTTAAATAGGGGAAATTAAATAGGAATCTTGTATTTTTCATGGTGTGGTTTACTGGAACAGGCACTTAAAGTTGGCTGTTAGTGAAAAGTAAGCCAATTCTTCTTTCTTATTTCAGCACCAAACCACTTTTTGGTAAGTAATGTACCATTTTAAACTTACTGTATATTGATGTTTCTATGCTTTGCAATTAACTGTATACTTAAACTATAGGTACAATATTAAAATGGTAACTGTTTATTTTAATGATAATTTAATTGTTATACTTAATATACTCATTGACCATATTATTATTATTATTATTATTATTATCTTCTGAGCTGATATTTAGATTTAAATTGCATTAAAAATATTAGCTAATTGTAAGAATTAGTTTTCTCTTCATTTTGATTAAAACCATCTGAGAAGCTGTTGTAGCACAGTGTGGAGGTCTGCTACCCAGCCCAAGCCGGGCAGAACCTGACAAATCATTCTGCTTTTTCACCTGTAACTTCTTGTGTGTACCTAATGAAAACATAAATAATAGGGCTGTAGGAGTTAAAACGTGAGAGTTTTAACCTAACAATAGAGGATTTTAATAGATAGTTCTTCTCTGCTGACCTTGAAAGCATTATGCCTATACTTCTATCTCAATACAAATGCATTTTTTTGTCATAGGTAGTATATACTAAGCATTCTAGAATGGCAGAAAACAACGAGCCAGTGTCCTTCACAAACTTGGCTGTTGTTATGAAGTATATGGACCTAAATATGAAATGATCAGAAGCTCAAATCTGGGCTTCAGATCTCAAAAAATGCATGTCTGACATGCATTATGATAAATCTGGTATCTTGCTAGCATTCTCAGAGGAAGCACTTTCTTGTGGTTTGCGCTGTCCGGGTACTGCAAAGGAAAAAATCCAGGCCGTTATTGACTACGAGGAATGTCATCCTCCACCGTCGCATTCCTACTCTCTTTATTCCTTTCATACATCTCCACATCGAATTGTAAACGAATTGCTCGAAGCTATAAAAGGAAATGTAGATTATGTGAAAGCTGCTGAATCAAGTGATGAACGTGACATCTCAACATTATCTACTTGCAGCTCAGACTTTCATGTTTCGAAACAAACATTACAATGCTTCTGATGAAGAAGCTCTCCAAGATTTCTTTATTCGTATTTATACTTGCTCTCCGAAGTTGATTGCCTCGGGGCTTACAATATGATGAAAGAAAAAATTGTTAGAAACAAGAGTGACGATTACATAATTCCAGTGTGGAAGAGGGTAGAGCAAAAATGTTTCCGCTGGTACATTTCTCGCGCACAAGATAAACACAACAGAAAGGAATATTATGCCATGCAATTAAAAAAGGCTAATCCGTAGTATATTTTATGAAGTTGACGGTGATTTCATAGCCAGCGAAGATCCTGCCCTTCTGAAAGAATTTCAAGATGGCAAAATAAATGGGCAATGTGATACAGAATTCCAGGGGACGTCTTTATATTGCTGGAGCAGAGATGGCACACCTCCTGCTCACCCATACTTCATCGTGGCTCAACTCTACTGGCCTCATATCCCACACAATTTAAACTACCAAGTGGAACAAATCACAGATCAAGAGGCACTACCAGTACTTTATGATGAGATGCCTGCTCTTGAGGAAAAAGGAAAAACTGATCCTAAAACATACACTTGGTTTTTGAACAAACCAGAACATGCTGTTAATGACTTCCCAGAACTGAAAGATTATTCTGAGGGTCAGACTTTCTCTGATGATTACTTGCGTCCTTCGACAGAACCCCTTCAAACAGATTGGCTTTACCTATGAGTGGTCAAGAGAAGAACACGAAAGCACACACAAAGACTTCACCTTAATATTCAGAGCGAGGCCAACCTGTGAAAGAGTTCCTCAGGTCATTACAGAGGAAAAGAGAATAAGATTTGATTACTGGCAGTATATCAAAGAGTTAGTCTTCTTTGGTGGGTCACATGGTGAAGGAGCAGCGCTTGCTCCGGATCCAGCTTGGATTGATCAGGCACACATGAATGGGGTCTCCATATTTGGCACAGTTTTTTTTTGCCTCCTCTAGACGAAGGGGGAAATGTGAACGACACGGAAGAACTGGCAAAACTGGAGAACCTGCAGAAACTAGTGGACATCGCCCACCAATTAAACTTAAGCTTCAAAGACTATAATGAGCCACTCTTAAATACGCTGAAACTCTCAATTCAGAAAATGGATCTCAGGGGTAAACAAATCATATATTATTTACCCAGTTGTTATCAAAGCGATCGCTTTGATCCAGAATCAAAAGGAGTAAGAGTGACGTGTGATGACAAAATCAATGATACAGCACCTGCCTTTCTGGAAGAAGAGGGAAAAAGTTGTATTTGAATTTTTATCATTTGGTTTGGAGTGTGTTTCTTAATCAGGCTCCTTGGAGTTACCTCATGTTTGTTGATGAACCCTTTTGGAAAAACACACTGAAACACAGAGGATATTTAGTAGACCCTGTCAGATTTCCACATGCGCAGAACTGTCTTTGGCAGTTTTTTCTAGGAGAAAACGGTCTGGAAAGAAAACCAACAGATCTGTATCCCTGGTATGGAATTGCTAAATATGCAAAACCAAGAAAACGAACACATGCTCAAGATGAATTGAAGCTATTCAGGAGATTTTGACTTCATCACCATTAGACGTCAAACCAACCATCTCTCTCACACTTTATGAGATACAGTAAATTAACCGGGTTTCTAGACCCTTAGATTTATTTATTCTAATTGTGCTGTGATTTGTTAGTACTCACAGCTTCATTTTAGGTGTTTTGTTTCACTTTTTTATTTAATATTAAAATTAAGTTCAACATGAAAAAACATTAACATTATTCCTTGTCTTTATTAGAATGATCTCAAAGCTCATATAAACTCTAATCCATGCATACTAGTCTGTGTTGTTTAAATATTGTATTGCAAATATCTTAACAAAAGGTAGAATGAAAGATGCTCTGGAAAAGGTGTCCCACCAATCCTTGAATTTAACAATACATGTAAAATATCACTTACTACTTAATGTTCCTTTTATTGTACATGCTAAGGATTGAAAAATGTATCCTTTCAATTAAACATGAGAATTATATTTTAGTCAATGTTACACTAAAAACTATAATTGGTTGTGTTTTGTGTTGCTTTTATTGTATTACTCATTTATTTTTATTTCATTTTATGATTGAATGGAAGAAGTTGATATACAGTAAAAATGATGTGAATATATTTCTTGTATTTTTTTTTCAGTATTGTGCTTGCATGAAGTCATGAAAACATAAACCAATAAACAATTAATAAATAATTATTAGGTTTATTGAATTACAAATAATTTAAAACTGGTGATGTGATCAGTAAGTCTTTATGGGTCGTCTGTGTTTCTCAGACCATCCGTGGGACTGTTAAGATGAAAAAGACACTGTACACAAAATATTCCATATTTCCAAGCACTGTTATAAATGGCTAGAAAAAGATTATTCATCAAAATGCAGCCGGCAGGGTAGTCAAATATTTACATGGATATATTACAGCCAGAAACGACATACACATTCAGTGACATGAAATCAAATTATAGCCCTCCCATTTCAGTTACAACAATCACATACAGCATTTGTGCTTAAAATGACTTCATCATCATCATAATCCATCAAAGAAAATTAATATTAGGCACATATCCTAAAATTATTCACAAATTATATACACAGTGTGCACACAACTTATTGGCAGTGCTGACAGCATTACAGAGCTACGATATTTGGCTTCCATTGAAATCCACAATGATGTTGCATAGGATCGATGACTGACAGGAATCATACACTAGAGTGAAATGGAAGCAACGGTGTAACTAAAACCCTGCAGCGCCATACCAACAGCATTTGACAACGTAAAGGTGAAACCACTGAAGAGCCCCATATATTATGCTTTCCCATGCAAGGAAACTCACTGTCCATCCAAATGATATTCCTTATAGAGAATCAAAGATAAAATCTTAAGTACAAATCCTCCAGAAGCATCCTTGCATTACAAAGCAGCAAATACAGTATATTATTGATCCAATGACTATGTGGACGTTTCTTAAACTTTCACATTGACTGCAAGATATGTACATGAAAAAGGCCCAAATGGTCAATGAGGTTTACTCATGCACCAAATTATGAACAATTTCTCACTGTGTTTTTGCCAAGATGTGTTGAGACGGTCTTTAAGCACCAAGCAAAGCCTTGCAGCTGACCCACTCAAGATGAACTGTGCCAGTAGTGATCATATGTATTTCACGTATAATGAGGATCGAGTGTGTAAAACGTCCCTTTAACTGTGTCACAAAAAAAAACAGATGGAGGTTACAGTCGCTCCCTTTATCCACCTCCTCTTATCTAAACCACACATATAGTACCTCTGATATGATATGAAGACTGTGAGGCTGTTTATTTTAGGCAAATTCAAAGGACTAGTGCAGAGCCCTGTAGTTCAATTATGAACTGTAATAAAATCTGCATTTTTCGGAAGTATAAAACATAGTGCCGTTTTTTTCTTTACAAAATGGAGTAAGGCACCAGATTCCATTCAGCACCAAAAGCCAAGCGCGATCGAGTGTAAAAAATAGATAGATAGGCTTTGTGCTACAGTAGAACACTGAAACATGCGGTCAGCAGTTAAGGAACGGGTGGTTTAACAAAAAATGCAGAAGGGCAAAACAAAAGCACGAGGTATTTTTTTCCAATCGTCACAATAAATAAGTCCAAAATCATAAGTGTAGCACCATGCTATTTCATCTGTATCCTTACCATGTAAAACATGAAACGATGGTCAGCATTCGATCAAGCTGGTTTTTGTAAAGCAAGTCCATCAATACAGGGAAAGTCAATGAGGAAGGAGATGCTGACGCCAAGATGGTAGTCTCAGATCCAAGATGTAATTCTTCCATTTCACCAGTAGAGGGTAAGACAAACGAGCATTGCATTGTTTGCAAAAGTTTCTGCGACAGTTATGGTGCGATCACATTTACAGAAGTTCTGCGAATTTTTGTAGGTGAAATGATCCAGTCATTTCGATAGGAATCCATGAAATCAAGAATTTCGTGTGAGGGTGAAAAATGTATCCACGCAGATTTTGCAGTGGATTCAGGTTGGTCACACGGATTCACCGTTTGGTTTGAAAGTGAATTGTGTGAGCTGTGTTTCATACATCGCTTCATTATTGACGATAGATAATGAACCTTTTTTGTCCATAAAATTTGGCTAATGTGACCGCACTTTTACTTTTGAGGTAAAAATTGGGACAAAGCACTTTTTTCTGATTTTGTTGTATAATTTGTTTACAAGTCACACTGATGATTTACACGAGGCAGCTATAAGTACCGTTGAGTTTTGGCGTATATATATATATATATTTATATATTGAATTGAAGCTATTCAGGAGATTTTGACTTCATCACCATTAGACGTCAAACCAACCATCTCTCTCACACTTTATGAGATACAGTAAATTAACCGGGTTTCTAGACCCTTAGATTTATTTATTCTAATTGTGCTGTGATTTGTTAGTACTCACAGCTTCATTTTAGGTGTTTTGTTTCACTTTTTTATTTAATATTAAAATTAAGTTCAACATGAAAAAACATTAACATTATTCCTTGTCTTTATTAGAATGATCTCAAAGCTCATATAAACTCTAATCCATGCATACTAGTCTGTGTTGTTTAAATATTGTATTGCAAATATCTTAACAAAAGGTAGAATGAAAGATGCTCTGGAAAAGGTGTCCCACCAATCCTTGAATTTAACAATACATGTAAAATATCACTTACTACTTAATGTTCCTTTTATTGTACATGCTAAGGATTGAAAAATGTATCCTTTCAATTAAACATGAGAATTATATTTTAGTCAATGTTACACTAAAAACTATAATTGGTTGTGTTTTGTGTTGCTTTTATTGTATTACTCATTTATTTTTATTTCATTTTATGATTGAATGGAAGAAGTTGATATACAGTAAAAATGATGTGAATATATTTCTTGTATTTTTTTTTCAGTATTGTGCTTGCATGAAGTCATGAAAACATAAACCAATAAACAATTAATAAATAATTATTAGGTTTATTGAATTACAAATAATTTAAAACTGGTGATGTGATCAGTAAGTCTTTATGGGTCGTCTGTGTTTCTCAGACCATCCGTGGGACTGTTAAGATGAAAAAGACACTGTACACAAAATATTCCATATTTCCAAGCACTGTTATAAATGGCTAGAAAAAGATTATTCATCAAAATGCAGCCGGCAGGGTAGTCAAATATTTACATGGATATATTACAGCCAGAAACGACATACACATTCAGTGACATGAAATCAAATTATAGCCCTCCCATTTCAGTTACAACAATCACATACAGCATTTGTGCTTAAAATGACTTCATCATCATCATAATCCATCAAAGAAAATTAATATTAGGCACATATCCTAAAATTATTCACAAATTATATACACAGTGTGCACACAACTTATTGGCAGTGCTGACAGCATTACAGAGCTACGATATTTGGCTTCCATTTGAAATCCACGATGATTTTGCATAGGAGCGATGACTGACAGGAATCACACTGGAGTGAAATAAAAGCAATGGTGTAACTAAAACCCTGCAGTGCCATACAAACAGCATTCGACAATGTAATGAAGGAGAAAACACTGAATAGCCCCATACATTATGCTTTCCCATGCAGTGAAACTCACTATCCATCCAAATAATGTTCCTTTATAGAGAATCCAAGATAAAAGTTTATGTACAAATCCTCCAGAAGCGTCCTTGCATTACAAAGCAGCAAATACAGTATATTATTGATCCAATGACTATGTGGACGTTTCTTAAACTTTCACATTGACTGCAAGATATGTACATGAAAAAGGCCCAAATGGTCAATGAGGTTTACTCATGCACCAAATTATGAACAATTTCTCACTGTGTTTTTGCCAAGATGTGTTGAGACGGTCTTTAAGCACCAAGCAAAGCCTTGCAGCTGACCCACTCAAGATGAACTGTGCCAGTAGTGATCATATGTATTTCACGTATAATGAGGATCGAGTGTGTAAAACGTCCCTTTAACTGTGTCACAAAAAAAAACAGATGGAGGTTACAGTCGCTCCCTTTATCCACCTCCTCTTATCTAAACCACACATATAGTACCTCTGATATGATATGAAGACTGTGAGGCTGTTTATTTTAGGCAAATTCAAAGGACTAGTGCAGAGCCCTGTAGTTCAATTATGAACTGTAATAAAATCTGCATTTTTCGGAAGTATAAAACATAGTGCCGTTTTTTTCTTTACAAAATGGAGTAAGGCACCAGATTCCATTCAGCACCAAAAGCCAAGCGCGATCGAGTGTAAAAAATAGATAGATAGGCTTTGTGCTACAGTAGAACACTGAAACATGCGGTCAGCAGTTAAGGAACGGGTGGTTTAACAAAAAATGCAGAAGGGCAAAACAAAAGCACGAGGTATTTTTTTCCAATCGTCACAATAAATAAGTCCAAAATCATAAGTGTAGCACCATGCTATTTCATCTGTATCCTTACCATGTAAAACATGAAACGATGGTCAGCATTCGATCAAGCTGGTTTTTGTAAAGCAAGTCCATCAATACAGGGAAAGTCAATGAGGAAGGAGATGCTGACGCCAAGATGGTAGTCTCAGATCCAAGATGTAATTCTTCCATTTCACCAGTAGAGGGTAAGACAAACGAGCATTGCATTGTTTGCAAAAGTTTCTGCGACAGTTATGGTGCGATCACATTTACAGAAGTTCTGCGAATTTTTGTAGGTGAAATGATCCAGTCATTTCGATAGGAATCCATGAAATCAAGAATTTCGTGTGAGGGTGAAAAATGTATCCACGCAGATTTTGCAGTGGATTCAGGTTGGTCACACGGATTCACCGTTTGGTTTGAAAGTGAATTGTGTGAGCTGTGTTTCATACATCGCTTCATTATTGACGATAGATAATGAACCTTTTTTGTCCATAAAATTTGGCTAATGTGACCGCACTTTTACTTTTGAGGTAAAAATTGGGACAAAGCACTTTTTTCTGATTTTGTTGTATAATTTGTTTACAAGTCACACTGATGATTTACACGAGGCAGCTATAAGTACCGTTGAGTTTTGGCGTATATATATATATATATTTATATATATTTTTATATATATCTTTTTATATGTGAAGCATCATTCTTTATTTGGGTTACCTGCACCCGTAGATGTGATGTAATGACTGGCATTAGAGTCGAGGAATTAAATGGCAGAACGGATCAGGCTGGATCATAGTGTGGACTCCAGCGAAGAGTCCAGGATATCGTCATGATGACTGTTGCTATTGGAGTCGCTGTCGTAGCTCTGCGGGCTGGAGCAGCTGGCCGCCTCTTTTAGACGCAGGAGCATGTTCATCTGTTCACACAATACACAAAAATAACAGTCAGGCCAGATGTCTTAATATATATTCGAGAAGAAATCTGAGCTATTATACACTTTTTTCAAATTGGAAGTATATAGAAAACACTTAATCTAGAACATACTATTTTGTTCTCCTACATTTTTCTCTTGCTTTAGTACAGGGGTCTCCAAACTCGGTCCTGGAGGGCCGGTGTCCTGCAGAGTTTAGCTCCAACTTGCCTCAACACATCTGCCTGGAAGTTTCTAGTACGCCTAGTAAAGTCCTATTCGGATGGTAATTGTTTCTCAGGGGGACGCAAGTGATTTTCATCATTTACAGGGGGTAGTTGGTGATTTTAATGCCGTCCGATTCCAGGATGTCGGTGTTTTTCTCTTACCACCCCCGTAAAAATCCCAGCCGAATTACTTACTATTTTATGACAAACACCAAGGTCGTGTGGTAATTTAATTGCCGTCCGAATCCACATCTCTGAGTTTACGAGAAGAAATCGATTCAAAATTCAGTGTTTAAATCCTTTTTGAGCACTCCCGAACACCGTAAGGTAACGTTGTACTTCGGTGTAATTTGCATACATATTTATTTCTGAAATGCTGGAAAGTTAAAAGAACAATACTTCATAACTGCTCCACCACAGCGACTGGGAGCAGAAAGAGAAGAAAAGCACGTAAACATTCGAAATGGGTCTTTAATATGGCAGCAGCACGTATGCAATACAATTTTAAAATGTGTATTATAAACAGATATATATCGCGTATAATTATATACACCTATAGCACGTCTATTTTCCTATTTTTAAACAGGAGATTTAAATAATCAAATAATAAATAGGATTATATATTATAAAATATGCTTGGAATAATAAGAATACATTTTACATAATAATACGTATTTTTAAATACATTTTACACAATAATAAGGATAAATTTGTAAATAAAATTCATTTTATTTACAGCAGACAATCATGTGACTGGCAATGTGAGTAGCGCGTTCCCGGGTTCGTAGGATCACAGAACTCGCTCCTCCACTGTGAATAGAGCACATCCGAATCCATGAGTTTTATCACTGAGGTGATATGTAAATTTATTTTTACAGTCCATATAAGAAACAATTACCGTCCGAATCGGGCTTAAGACGTTGATTAGCTGGATCAGGTGTGTTTGATTAGGGTTGGAGAAAAACTCTGCAAGATACCGGCCCTCCAGGACAGAGTTTGGAGACCCCTGCTTTAGTAGATAGAGGTGCATTAAGAGGTGATCTAAGTTTTTATGCCCTTATGCCACAGGACCTTATGCCTTATTACCTTATTTCTGTAGGGTAAAGTCACCCCCAAAATCCCATGTCAACATGTATCATTTTTTTTTCTCCATTCAACTCACTTACTGACACCTACTGGTTTGAATGTATACTTATATAAAAGCAAAAGTAACCATTATAGTGTGATTAGTGTTGCTATTGTTAATTAAACTAAAACTAATTTTCGTTAATTGAAATGCTAAAATAAAATACAATATAAATATTATTTAATATATTATATTATTGGCAACTAACTGAAATAAGTAGGTTTAAGCTGAAATAGTAAAACTAATAAAAATTAAACTAAAAATGACTCAAACTTAAACTAAAATTAAAATGAAAACTGAAAATATAAAAATAAAATCTAATTGAAAATATTAATAAATACTATAATAGTATGTATGTATAATACTAAAATAACACTATGTGCCATACTCTGTTTGCAGGCATACAGTATCACCCATGATTCATTTATTCTAATTTCATCTCAGTAATAAAAATAAATTAATAAGTTATATTTGACAGGTCATGTAATCTCAACAAGGCGGTCACAATGGGGTGGCCCCATCCTTATTTAGAATAAAACAGTTTTTCTTCACCAATGATCAGCCAGCGTGGACTCCTCATTTTATTTGAATTTACATCAATTATTATGTGTATAAATCATTTTCAATCATTGTTTATTTAAAGGTTTTTTGAGTAGTCCTTCCAAAATCTGTTTTCTTCTTTATGATGATCCCAACTTGAAGAGTTTTGCATTTTTAGTAATAAACTAGTGCAGCATATTTTTATAAACATAAAACAATCAGAACAGTAAGAGTTTACGGCCACACTACACTAATACTTTTATCTGTATGTGTTTCTCACCAGTGGGTCGGCATCACTGTCACTCTGAGTACTCTGTTTGTTAAGGCCCTCTCTGGAGGCAGAATATCCATCGAAGCCCACGTCCTCTGGGCGGAGCTGCAGCAAAGCTGGCCAATCAGGGTGTTGATGAGAAGCTGCCCATGGAAAAGTTTCCAGAACCCACAGCGCGGGATCCTCCCATGCAGCTCTGCGACCGTATAGCTAAAAAAAATAAATCAAACAAAACCAACAAATAAACACTGAATCAAAATGTTGTTCCAAATACTGAGAGATACATAGAAAGATGCAAGAACTTTGGGTTTTGATAATGGACTTATAATGTTGTGCAAGATCACTTTTACAATGAAACTTAATCATTTAAAAAGATATCACTGAAAAAGGTCGATTTTACTATAAAAGAGGGCAAATGTTACCTGTAAGCCTTCTCTCACAGCCTCCAGCATGTAGGGGATGATGGAATAATTCCACAGGTCAGTGAACCAAACATGAGAACCGTCCACATCCATCGGACACGACAGGAACAAACGTGGACCTGGATGAGGAGACATGAGGCTCAAATTCAACACTTGTAGAGCATATTAGTAACACTTGGAAGGGTCTGTTAATATTTGGCTTCAGTACAGTGGTTTATCTCCGTACCAATGGTCACATCAGAGGAGCTGTGGGCCTCCAGGAAGCGGTTGAGGTGGTGCCAGACCTGAGGGATCCAGTCTATGATCTTCACCAGCTCCGGGTAACGTGTTCGGCTGCCGATCTCTGTCTCGATCAGCTTCCTCCTCAGAAACCGGCACAGGAAACCTTTTACCGGCTCCATGTGATTAGCACACAGTACCCATCTGGGACGGAAATCACACGTTGCTCATGTTAGCATCTCTCATATACACTGCCGTTCAAAACTTTGGGATCAGTAAGACTTGGAATGTTTTTTAAAGAAGTCTCTTATGCTCATCAAGGCTGCATTTATTTGATCAAAAATACAGAAAAAAAACGTAATCTTGCTAAATGTTATTACAATATAAAATAATAGTTTCTATTTTAATATCCTTTAAAATATAATTTATTTCTGTGATGCAAAGCTGAATTTCCATCAGCCATTACTCCAGTATAAAGTGTCACATGATCCTTAAGAAATCATACTAATATGCTGATTTATTATTAGAATTATCAACAGTTGTTGAATTATCAACAGTTGTGCTGCCTATCTTTTTGGAAACTGTGATATTTTTTCAGGATTTTTTGATGAAAAAAAGTTAAAAAGAATAGCATTTATTCAAAATATAAATCTTTTCTAACAATATAAATCTTTGCTATCACGTCTTAACAATTTAACACATCCTTGCTGAATAAAAGTTTTAATTTATTCAAAAAAAAGAAAGAATAAAAATGTACTGACCCCAAACTTTTGAACTATAGTGTATATTGTTAGAAAATATTTCTATTTTAAATAAATGCTCTTCTTTTTAACTTTTTATTCATCAAAGAATCCTGAAAAAAA